CTGGACCGACGTGGTGACGGCGCTGAGGATCTGGTAGACGTTCTCGCCGGGCGAGCCCGCGTTCGGCTGGAACGGCGCCAACATGTAGTTGAGCCCCAGCAGCGGGATCAGAATCAGGGTGGCACGCACCGCGCGCCACGAGTTGTTGTGCTCTTCGTTGCCTGGCAACAGGGATCGACGCGAGTGAGCGGCTAGTTGGGTGAAGGAGTCCTTTTGTGAGCGGGTCTTCAGATAGCTGGTGTTGGCATCAAGCATCAGGAAACAGGAACCACTCAGTCCATCCTGGAGCTTAGCTGGTTTATTGTAGATTAGGTACTTAGTAGCTGTGGAAACATCCAAGTTGATACCGTCTGGAAGTCGAATTACGCTAGTTTATACCCATCATGAGATTGATGTGCGCCGATCTACACACTACGTAGAACGGCGTACATTAGTACAATGCAGAACGGCGTACACTAGTACACTGCAGAGGCGTACATCAGTACACTGTAGAGCGGCATAGAACGCCAAGACGCCCTACCTGCAACACCGCGACATGTCCCCATTTGAATGGCACAGGGAAGTATGTAGAACAGCGCCATCACACGTGGCACGCACATCACGTGCTCTTGTTCGCAATGCATATGCGATACTGATCCACTCATGGACAGATATTCGAAAAACTGTTCGCATATTGACCCAAACTACTTACCCAATGTACCTATGCTTGGGGTGATTGTGGGGTATTGCAGAAGCAATGTTCGGGGTTTTGCTTTACGATGCGTTTGATATCTCAAAGTTGATGCTCGAACCCAACGCATTAAAACTGCAATGGTACACATGTAAAACTCCCCCGTATTACATTGATCCTCAAGAATCCGATGCTTGCGGTGAATGGGCAAATCGCATCATCTTTTTCGCTTTTCGTACCACGCACCTGGAATTGAAATTCACATGGTGCCATAGCATGTAGTCGGACATCTAGTCTTGAATACCCACAACGCTTCCATCTGAACTAATTTTCAGCTAAGTTGCTAATTGAACCTCAAACACCCAACGAAAGCTTCATTTACCTTAATTTATGTCTTCGCTCAAACTTTCATCAAAGGACCCATTTAAAACCGTCAAACGCGTTTTTGCTTTACCCTCAGTAGCCTCCTTTTCCTCTGCAACTACAGCTAAGGAGTCCCAGGAACGTAACTATTACTCGCCCTCTTGACCCCGAGGTCCTTCCCTGTGCTCATATGTGCTGAACACTACTTGTAAGTAAAGTTTTGCGGACTGAAAATACGCCTCCGGTCCGGAACGCCCAACTTCAGTAATTTACTGCGTTCATTGGTGCACCTACCAGCACGAGATTATCCTTGGGCTGATTGTGATGAGTTAGTGAACGGGGTGATGGAATGGACTGGGCGTACCCCGTGGTATAAGACTGAGATAGCGTGTGAGATGAGGGGAAAAATATATGGGGTAGCTGGTTAGGCACTAGGCGATAAGACGCTGGGTTCTGGAACACGGGGTCTGGGTTCGGTTCCTGCTGAAGGGTCACTCCGCTGGACCCTGTTTCCAGTAATGTGCACCACAAGTATGAACATTTTGACGTCGCGCACGCCATGTGTCTGATCTGCCCCGCAGCAACAGACAAAGCATTTCGGTGCTTGGGATGAATGCTCCCGTGCACAACAAAGTGCATCTACGCCTGGAAAACCGAGCCCTAAATTGGTCTGTTGCTCGGACCCAAGCTGTCCGCGGACCGGTTTAATCCAACAGACCTCCCAGCGTCTGCAGAGACCGGACACTAGTGGTAGCAGAGACCGGACGCCACCATCTCCTGCAGCAGCGATGGGCTACTGGGAGAGTCTAGCGAGATGACTGACCTGGAGCGGCGCGCAGTTTCCGCACCAGGATCCAGACGATGCGCACGAGGAAGATGAAGTTGGTCACCATGGAGGTACAGACGGGTGCCGACAGCAGCCAGCGGTACACAGACTCCTCCATCCAGCACCTGTCGACACCGGCCGAGGTTAGCGTTGCCTTGGGGCGGTACGGCACCCCGGGTCGGCTGGGTCAGCGGTACGTGACTGCCCGCGGCGGTACGGCGCCCCGGATCGGGCTGGGTCAGCAGTCTGCGTCTGCCTGGGAACGGTACGGCGCCCCGGGTCGGTCTGGGTCAGTAGTCTGCGGCTACCTGAAAACGGTACGGCGCCCCGGGTCGGCTGGGTCAGCGGTACGTGGCTGCCCGCGGCGGTACGGCGCCCCGGGTCGGTCTGGGTCAGCAGTCTGCGGCTGCCCGGCCGCCTCCAGTGACCTGCCTCGGACAGTGCTTCCGATTCTTGCGCGAGTTCTTCAGCGAGGACGTGGCGTGAGGCATTTCAGGAATCGATGTATTGTTCAACAGGCATTAGCCGTAGGAGCAGTCAGCAAAAGTTGAACCAAGTGGTTACACTGGACCATCAATGGCGTGCCTCCTTTACTCTCTTCCATGCATCTGCCCACAAGGCGTCACGCCGCTCATAAACGTCCTCCAGTTTGGTGAAGGTGGTCGAAAGCTAAACGCGTGGGCTTCAATTCGGCTCGAGCTACGCCAATGTCAACTTGAACCTTGCGTCATCACACAGAGCAGACGGACGACGGCGGCGCAACTCACTTCAACAGCACGGAGCTGCTGACTTCGCTCAACGAAACACATTAAATGTACTCGCCTACGAATGAGGTCGAACCAAGAGACTTGCAAACTTATCAGAAACTAGGCTGCTGTGAAACTCCGCAAGCTTTGCTAAGTTCAGAACAAGTTCTAGAATGTGTTCAAAGAATACTCAACCTTGTCGCAGATTGCATATTTTCCATCACGTGCCTGCAGCTTGATAACTTCCGTCAACTTTTGTAAATCACTATACACATAAATACACGGGCGGATGACCTCAGGTGAAGTGGACGGAGCCATTCACGACCAACCATGCTGTTTTCCATCCCGTGCCGTGCCGTGCCGTGCCCTGCTCTGCTCTGCTATGCTCTGCTCTGCTCTGCCTTGCTCTGCTCTGTTCTGCCCTGCCCTGCCCTGTCCTGCCCTGCCCTGCCCTGTCCTGCCCTGCCCTGCCCTGCCCTGCCCTGCCCTGCCCTGCCCTGCCCTGCCCTGCCCTGCCCTGCCCTGCTCTGCTCTGCTATTCTCTGTCCTGTCCTGTCCTGTCCTGTCCTGTCCTGTCCTGTCCTGTCCTACTCTTCCCTATCCTGTCCTGTCCTGGCATGTCCTGTCCCGCCGTGCCCTGCGCTATCCTGTCCTGTCCGGTCTGCTCTGCCGGCTGGTCGGCAATATCGCCGCCGGCTGGATCTCGGGGGCCGTCAGCGCTAGCTCGAGTTCAGCGCAGCGGGCGACGAGACATGTTTCATACGACAGAGACGGAAGGCTTTCAATAACGCGGAGGCTGCGATGGAAATGGAAAACCGTGCTCAAGTGCCGCGATATTTTCGACTTATGCGGCCCATATCCCCTTACAAGCAGGCCCAAACAATCCGCGGGCCGTACTCGGTTTGCTGGGAGCGCATTTCAGCGATATTGCCTGTGAAACCGGATGGTGCGTGGAAAGTCGAAAACTCAACAGTACAAACTTCAGAATGTAGGATAAATCTAAAGCTGTTGGTGCATAAACAAGGACTCGCGGTTTACACAGCTGAGAGATCAATGTGTCAACAGCGACCACGAAACGGTTTCATATCCTGGCAGGTAACGGGGAATTCAATGTGATGTGGTGTGTTACAGGAGGCCAGTACACACAAACACATGCAAAAGACATGATTGGCATTACATATGAGCCCATATTGCAGACTGCAATGATCCACGACATTCTATGGACTCTATATACGCATTTTACTGACGAGAAGACGGCGGGGAGACGGTGAAGACGGTAACCACGGTCTTGGCAACAATGCAATCGTGCAACTGCAAATGAAAACAAGATTACTGGTTGCTGAGGCAAGTGTGCGCCAAATATTTTAAATGAAAAACTATATATATATATATATATATATATATATATATATATATATATATATATATATATATGCAGCAATTTGCCATGATTGCTCGCTGTCGACTTATTGCTGGCTAAATCTGAAGCAATATCGTAGTTTCCGTCCCCATTTCTTCACAAAAAGCAGCAATCAACCTCGGCGACAGGCAGACAGTGAAGCAGTCTTAGGCCTCTGATGTCAATCGTACTCGATGAGAGGCAGACAGTGAAGCAGTCATAGGCTCCTGGCGTCATTAAGCCCCGGCAGCAAGCAGGCAGTGAAGCGGTCCTCGGCCCCTGGCGTTAGTCGCACTCGATGACAAGCAGACAGTGAAGCAGTCCTCGACTTCTGGCGTCAGTCGTACTCGATGAAAGGCAGACAGTGAAGCAGTCCTCGACTTCTGGCGTCAGTCGTACTCGATGACAGGCAGGTAGTGAAGCAGTCCAAAGCCTCTGGCGTCAGTCGCACCCGAAGGCAGGCAGGTAGTGAAGCAGTCCTCGGCGCCTGACGTCCGTCAATCTCGATGGCAGCGCAGCCCGCGCCGCTCCGAGGAGCTCGTTGGCCCCGGCTCTCATCAGCGGCATGTAGCTGCCCCACGAGGACGACGCGCCCGTCCCGCTTATCGAAGATGCTTAGCAAACGGCTGACACGCGCGGACACGCCGTGTCAACCGTTTTTCTTCCCCCTCAGTCCCCTAGTCTCCACGTCCCTGGGAGAGGGGAGAGAACACTTGTAGGCAGATTGGACGGCCAGGTTAGATCACGGCAGAGAAGAGGAGAGCGGACAGCTGTAGACACAGGAAATTTACCTGATTTGACCAAGGAAGGCCTTAAGCTCTTGAAGAGGCTATTTTCGGCGTAAAATTCATACAGCAGGGATGATCAAGTTAAGTGATGACAGAACGGAAGGGAGGGACAGCTGCAGATGATAGTGGTAGGGTCGCATGGTCTCATTGTCGGAGGCGGGAGGGCGTTTTGGACGGCGACCATCGGTGAAACAGGAGACCTCAATGTGACGTACTTCCAGCCCTGGATCCATCACTAGACAGGACGCGACGACGGCGACGATACGGTAACGCCGTTGACCAGGCAACAATAGGACAGCGGGATCCATTCACAGGGCTTCTGGAACGGCTCTTCGAATTTCCGGCGCGTCGGGCGTATGGCCGCCTGCCTCTTGCCCAGGCTTGAAGCAGAGAAAATGTAACTCCATTCAGACTGCGGAAGGCTATTTTCGGTGCTTCCTTTTCAGTCAACGGCCATGGGCTAATAGGGTCCAATGCTGTTTTCTCCGGCAGTGCAGGGAGCCTCCGTCCCCCCCCCCCCTCTCACTGAGCCCGTGGTTTCCACTCCGCTGGCCTCAGGTCAACAGCACGGTCAATGTGAGTCATGTAATTGAGGACGTGGAATAAACGAGTTCCCTGCAAGCGTTGTAATGTACCCGGATCCAGCACCTCAACAGGTGCGCTAGCTATCCTTCCTGGAGGAGCTACTGACAGTCGCAACCGTGCCCAATATTCACGCACGTCGACTGCGGGAAGGAGTCTGTATGGGCTTACACTACTGGGCTTCCCCAGCACATCGACGCAGGGCCGAACTCATTACTCAGGCATCCACAAGATACCCACGAGCCGGTCGTAGGAAAATCCAGGACAGATAACAGCCATCGGGATTACCAAGAGCATTACAGATCCTCCACTCGGAAAGCTGCTCGTTGCTGGTGGTATCAGCGGAGGTTTGTGGGTGTCATGGGGGACGGTGAGTATCGTGGGTGCCGTGGGTATCTGTGTCCGCCACAAAGTACCCAGCGATGCCGGTGGCCGGCGGTAAGTAGTGACTGCTGGGTGTGTGGGTGCCGGTAGAGTCCTAGCAGTACCGGCACGCGTTGGCATCCGCTCACAGGGCTGGGCCACCACACTGTAGCGGGTGGAGCGTGAGGGATAGCTTTCACAGGGTCGCTGCCAGCAGGCATGAGGTGGGGCTCTATTTTTTGGGAGAGAGGCCAAGATGCCCATCCTCGACCACGAACGTTGTTGTTTACACTTCGGATGCCTGCCGATGGCAGCGGCGCGTGCTCCCAGGTCAGACGGTCGCTGTGTGGGGGTAAAGCTCGCGGTCAATAGCCACCTGAGTTGGGATGGCGATCGGGCGTGTAATTACAAAGCCATCGCAGAAGCGGCCAACTTGCGCCGACAGTGCGTCGGAGCAGAACTCAACACCGGTAAGCTGCTCACGCTCATAAAGGTCTACTGGTAAGCGACACATCTACTTTACTAAAACGGCAACCGCCTGAATTAGTAACAATCGCATCTTCACAGTGTCTCCGATACTCTTTATAAAGAGCCCAAGAATGAGGTGAAAGCATGTCTCGAGTGAAGACAGATTGGTAAATGACGGAGATTTGACAGAGAGGGTGGCACCTTCTTCAAAGCCATTTCAACGTAGCCTCAAACAAACACGTTCTAAACATTCTATGACACCACTGCTAAATGAGTGCATAAACGAAGACCGTGCGACATGTGACTGGTCGTACACGAATTCCAAAGAATATTTCCACGGCTCAAAACGCACAGATAGTCCAACACATCTAGACCGGAAATGTGGGAAAGACAGTGGTTAGGTCAATACAAGAACCGCCTCGACAGTTCAAATGCTCGCTTTAGTCACGGCACGATTCCAAAAACGACTAAAACCCATCTGTATTCAATGAAGACTAACCGGCCTGCAGACGAGAAAGCAATACTGATTTGTAACGGCTGGTGTGGTCGCAGCACCAGCGCAGCATCACCCAAGCGCAGCACCAGCAGGGCGATATGACGCGGTTACGGCTTAGATTTTACTGAATGTGGCACCAGAGATTATCTGATGCATTGAATCCACTTCGCACAATATCAATTCCCGCTGACTTCCGGGTCCCGAAATATGTCTGTGGTGTTTTCATCGGTGGAGCTGACATTGGTATGTTCTTAGGGTTACATCTACCACAATAATACATGGAGTATTAGCAACGTATCTGTGCTCGGGATTGTTAAGATTTGTATAATGGAACTAAAAAAATAAAATCTACCTAGATCAGTCCACAAAGGGGTGAACAAGTGAAATGAGTCGAAAGGCATTGCTTTAGCTTCGCATAGTGTTTGTTCTTAACTTTTTATTTTGCACTTGATACCCTTTTTACCGAAGATAAGGTATATCTTTTTACAAAGATAAGGTCTGAGGGCACAAGCGTCCAAAGAGCCTTTCCATGGTTAGAAATGGCTCTTTTCACACATTTTCGTATCCAGGCATCACCAAAATGGGATGGTGTTCTGCCAACTGCTGTGTGGCACTAATGTACTTACAATTGCTCAGATTTTTACAAATTGGTATTGGTGGTTATTTGAAGCGCTGAAACCACCCCGTACAGCATTAGATCTGTCAGACCTACGGGTAATCGCAGGATAAACGTGAACTGTGTTGAATGGAATTCACCGACGTTGAATGAATCTGAAATAAGTATATATATATGTATATATATATATATATATATGTCTATCTATCTATCTATCTATCTATCTATCTATCCATCTATCTATCTATCTATCTATCTATCTATCTATCTATCTATATCTATATCTATACCTATATCAGAAATAACTAACCAGTGATACGCCACACCGCTTCCAAAAACTAGAGGAATATCGCAACAAATCAAGTCTCATAACAAAAGTATCCCGATCCTATTTTGCATGGATGTAAGAAAGCTTACCACAGTGTACCACTGCGGGACGGAATTGCAGCGTGCCAAACGGCTCTAGACCAACGCATCGTTAAACACTCAGGCAGAACACGCGCTGAAAATTATTGAGAAAGGTTTAGGGTACCACGGCCGTAACCTGGGGTTAAGCGCAGCGCACTTTATGCTTACTGAAGGCTAAGAAACAGGCTCGAAATTGCAAATAAATTTTGCGTGCACGTTTTGGCAGCGTGGGAATCAGAGTTCGATCACAAATCGGACCTACAAAAGTTAGCTTATTTTAGATACATCGACGATGTGTTTGGAGCATGGCTGCATGGATGGAAGGCATCACAACAGTATCATAGAGTTGCAGACAGCACGCGCCCAAAAACTCAACCTGACATTCGTTATTCTGAAACCGACATATAATTCTTAGGCGTGATTTTAAGACTGACAGATGCCCATATCCAACATGATTGGTTCCCAAAACCATCCAACAGCAAAAGTTACCCCCCCCCCCCCCCCATTTTCATCAGAATGCCTTTACCTCACCGAGAATGCCGTGCCTTTAAGACTAGATATGCGGTTGAAGAGAATCAGTAATGGTAAAAATAATACTCTCCGGCATAGGCGAGAGAGCTGAAAGCGAGGTTAAATCAAGACTGGCGTTTGAAGTGCCAGCAGGCCTCCCCATGCAACTGCCTAGAACTTAAATACCTGTTCTAAGCAAAAGGTCACTGGTGTCAAATTAAGGTCAGTGACCTGATTTGATCTTTAGAAGGCCATCATGATTAAAAGCTTATCAGACTGTTTTATTTTTCTAATCTGAACACGCATGAATCATGACGCTAGCTGGTGCGTTCCTAAAACAATGTGTTGGTCTGGGCCATTTCAGGTCAGTGGTCAACTCTGTCCTTTTAGAAGCCCATGGAAGATGGCTGTTGTGGTCCCTGCTGTGCAGAAATTCGAAGCATGCATAAAAAATTAGCACTCAAAGCAAGATCTCCAGTAAAAAGCAGATGGGCTTTGACCTCAGTCTGGCCTTTGTACCTCACCCTAGTCCAAACAAAACTGTTGCAATCCTAAATTGCATTGTTTTTCATATGAGAAACTATATCAGGGATGTATGGCTTTGTCCAACACTCTGTTGTTGCATTAGATTGATAGATTACCTAAAAATTGCCCTCGCTGACAGCCACGGCCTGATTTTGACCTGCCAAAGGCAAGCGACCTCACACGGTGCATCGAATTGTTTATACCGAAATACTTATTATTTGATTGCCAACAGCTATGCAAAGTTTGGTGTGACTACGCCGCACCGTTCGGAATTTTTTTCTTCTTCAAAAAACATCGGGCTGTCAAATTGACCCCTCATCCGACCATGCGATAAACCACCGAGTTTGGGCACGCTGCGGCTCCAGAGCGTGGGGGTGACGCGGAATCCCGCCCACTGTCTGACGGCAGCTGACGGCCAGACCGTGTCTGGGACGGCGATACCGCCCCTCCCCAGCGCCGAGGGGGGGGGGGGGGGGTGACGCGGAAGCCCGCCCACGGTCTGACGGCAACTGACGGCCAGGCCGTGTCTGGGAAGGCGATACAGGGCCTCGGACGGCAGCACCGGACACCATTCGTCATTACCTTGGCCATTGCCTCGACCGACGCGGAACAATGCCTGCCAGCCAGGCGGCGCGCTGCCGCCACCGGTCGCGCCCACGCGCCGGCATCGGGCGCGTCCGCCGACAATGCGCAATTAATACAGCTGACGGCCATTCCCTATAACGCGCGCGCTGGCCTCTGTCGCCGACCGCGCCGTCTCCGATTTCCTCCAGGTCGTCGTGACGCACACGAGGGACCTCCCAGTCAAGGTTCGTGCGTCATTCGTCGACGTCTATGCGTGGATCGTCACTGGATCGGACGCTATACGCACGTGTTCTCACTGGAAAGAGTGTCACTGCCTTTTAACAGGTTCATCGAAGTCCTACCATTGCGTACCACTGTCACGTAGCCTGCAGCGTCCATTCCTTGCAAGGTCCCGACGTGCCCTCCACATTGTCACCCGGCGAAAACCGCTGGCATTTTCGTGGCCGCAGAAGGCGCCGCCACCTGCCCGCCGTCGGGTTGGGTCCCGGTCGGCCCCCAGCGTGCGCTCACTATGCAGCGGCTGCGGAGAGCCGGGGCCCCCGGAACAAAGCGAGCGCGCGCGCCGCCGCTCTTGAGGCGCCGTTCCGTCTCCAATCACGTCGAGTGGCCGGCAAAAAGCGTCTTCGTTCGTCGATAAAAGACAATCGGGAGCCGGTCGCGGCCTTTGTGCGAGCCCGCCGGGCCTGAACGGCGCGCGCGCTGGCCGCGCGCTTGCGATTGGTTCCAGCCGGCGCCGGGCACGCGCCGCCCAGGGAGGCCACACCGGCAGCGGCGCCGGCAATCGCTCCGAGAGGCGCCGCACGGCAGCCGCCGCCGCTGACGAGGCCGGACGCGGCCAAGCCGGCGTCCCCGTTCAGCCGGAAAGTCGCTGTCCGACTGCGACGCCTCATCGCCCGACGCCGGATGCCACTTGCCGAGATGGCTTGCGGCACGTAGGAGATGGTGGGCGGCGCTGTAACCTGCCAGCGTCTCGGAAGGTCTCTGCTCAGACGCGATTGGCCGCTTTGAGAGTGAGAGCTCACGCGCAGGTTGGGTAGCAACGTCACTGGGTCCACCTATGCTCGAGAGAGTTCACCTTCGTTGGTAATGGCAGAGATCGAGAAAGCCTTGCACGCTTTGGCCTCACTCTTCCGTCTCCTTAGGTGCTCTCCATCCAACACCCCCGACGCCCGCCGTCTGACATGCCTCGGCGTCGGAGCTCTTCGGGGACCCGTCCATCCTCGACAGCTCCCAGGATGGGGCTGTGTGGGGGGGGGGGGGGGGGACATACGACACATTCAGCTACTGGGACTATATGGCGTTGTCTGCTTCTCATTGTGCGTTTCCCTCACCTATGCGGCCCGCTCCGCGTCTCGCCAGAGGTACGGGGAGTCGAACGGCCTGCATCTGGTGTTCCAGACGCGCAGCATAGGGAATCGAACCGCCTTTCTCTGGTGTTTCAGACGCGTAGGTTAGGAATCGAACCGCCTTTCTCTGGTGTCCCGAACTCGCAGCTTAACCACCACACTGCCCGTATCCAAGCGTCGAGCCCATGATTTGGCAGAAAGGTTGAACGGGACGTCCATCCGATGCATGTACACCGTAGGATATAGATAGAAAGTCACGACCACGACCGTAAAAGGATATAGAACGATCGAGTTTCCAAGGCTGTAAGCGATTAGTTTTTGGTTTACTTCGCCGGCGGTTATTTTAAGCATGATGGCGTTGACGCGGACGAGGCAGAGAACAAAGCCCTAATCGGTCGATGTAGGTATTTTCAATGGCCGAGCCGGCTGAGCACTTCAAAGGTAACAAGCATAAACAGACTTGATTACGGATTGACGCAGGCTTTTATAAGCATATTTTTACAATGTCGGACTGAGCAAACTAGATTCGGATATTTGAAACTTAAAAAAGCCGGATGGAAGGCATCTTAGATTCATGCAGCTGGGCTGAGCTGATCAGAACTCTAACAGTTAACCTGTAAAGTGCTCTGCTGCTTGTGTCTACGCACGTTTCACAACCTCTCAAATCAACATCAGGCGTGACTCCGTCGGCCTCTCCCAGTTGGGACGGTCCTCAACTCGCCACGGCGCGGCTCGCTGCCGCTCTCTTAGGCGATTGGTCCGTGTCGGGTCTGAGCGAGAGGCCCGCCGAGTCCGGCCAGGAGCCGGGACAGCTCCAGCGCGACAGCGGTGGGCTCAGCTCGCGCTACTATCGTGTTCACGCCGTCAGAGCGTCGTTAGCGAGTTGGACAAGTAAAACAGCATGATAGCAGGCGATACCTGGTCTCTGCTGTTAAGCTATGTAGTCATCAGATAAGGAATTAATTTCGGAGCACAGGTGCGGATGGAAGGCCTGTCGGAAGATTACCATGTTACCGGGTTTGGCTATACGAGGAAGGCTAAATGCAAAAGGATAAGTTACGCCGGCGGATAAGGCCGTCACTAAGTAAACAATGCTAGCAGGCAGTTGATGCAGGCAGGACTCAGGGAGCTGGGCAGCTGAACAGAACCACTGAAGCACTCACCATTTGGTCTCCTTTGGGTACATGCCGCGCACGACGCCGTAGATGGAGATGAAGATGGCCGGCACCACCCAGCCGACCAAGTATAGCCACTTCATCAGCTTGCCCTCCGTCACGAACGCCACGGCCAGCAGCGTGTGCAGGTACAGTCCTGCGGAGACGCGGTCGCGTCAGCTCGTCGGCGTCCCTGCGTGCTGAAGCACGTCGCGTGGGATAGCTCTCGCCGACACCCGACAAGTCCCGCGTCGTGACGGCCCCCGCGTCGTCTACCGAAGAGCACGGGCTCAAAGCCCGTCGGTGCTAGTTTCACTGCACCAGTATCGCAGGCATGACAGCGGCTAAACGAATGACCTCAGTTTAACACTGGCGTACGTCGGTACCAATCAACTGGCAGCGTTAGACGTGGCGTCCGCCTCCGATCATCGTCAGGAACCCGGCATGTCAGGTCTCTGACATGTGCTATGTAGTCACTAGATAAGGAATTAATTTTGGAACACGGGTGGGGATGGAAAGCCCATCAGAAGACTGCCATCTTACTGGGTTTGTTTATACGAGGCTACATGTTCAAAATTCAAGAATTCACGTCGTGACATGTCAGAGACAACGGCGCGGTCTACGGAGTGATGCTGCCCCGCAAGGCGGCGGCGCCCGCGGAAGGTACATCGTCCAGAACGGCCAGCCGGCTGACGTCATCCGGCTCGGGCGGCTGGGCCTATATGCGGCGCGCCGACCGCTCAACAGCGGTAACCAACACCCGCCAACCACTTAGTCGGCCCAGGAGACGAAATTTTACACCATCTTAACCCGTCTGCAAAGCGGCAGGCACATGCATATGCGCGGCGCACGATAGCTCGTCGGCAAGGGGCACGTCGCAGTATATTTAGCAATGCTAATGGGCCGTCCGAAAACGCACTAGTTGGTAATCCTACCTTGCCCAATGCCATCACCAAGAGGTACTTTAACAAACACCCGGGCGTGGGGTCAATTTGATTCACTACGGTTTTTTTTTTCAAATAGCTTCCGCACGGTGTGGTTTAGCAGCGCGAAACATGGCATAGTTGTGGACAACTGGTTCCCTGATTGGCTGTGAAAAGATCAGACAGATTTTGTCATGCTCAAAGAAATAAAGCATTTAGGCATATAATGGCCAGCAAAAGAAATTATAAGAGAAGATCTCAAACTAATGCAAAGATAACAGGGTTCCAGATGAAGTTATGCAACTTTGAAATGGTTACTTAAAGAATCAACATTTGAAATTAGAATCACAAGTTATTCCATTTGCATCGGGTCAGATCGAAGTAAAAAGTTAACTGCTTTTTTAGTGGAGACCGTCTTTGATGAGTTTGGCAATATACCGCTTTAGGGCAGAGTAGTTTGGAGAGTTCTTGATGTTGATTTTAGGTCTAAATCGCTAATGGTTGGGGGTTGGAAACACCTCACAATGATTGCATGTTTAAACGTGGTTAACCATGTTCACACGTAGATCACAACCTAGAGATGTTTAACTTTCAAAAATAAGTTCGCGTGGTCCTACCTGCGCTGTGGAATCGATGTCTCTAGCGCTCTTACGTTTTTATATCTCAGTGGGTTAAAAAGACCCACCTCACCCCTCCACCAGAGTGCGCCGTATTCAACTGCCCATGCAGGCGCGTGACAACGTCACACACAAACATGCGAGGAAACACGCACAAAAACGGGTGCACACGCAAGTACGCAAGCATATACGCGGCTAGTTTTGAAAATGGTCCGACCAGCTAGCAGATCACTCAAACGGCAGAGCAAACCACTTCCACTTTGCAGCAAACCTAATTGGTCCGAAAGTTAAACTCGCGCGAGATACGGCCCACGAGTGCGTTTTACAGTGTTGTGTTGGTGGACACGGACGTGTCAGCGCACGGAGCAGCCGGGAAGTGAGGCACCTAGCGTCCACTCAGTGTCTGTTTTTGTTTCCGCTTCAGTGCGATGCCTCTGTTTGTACCGCGGGTCAGACAGCTGGTGGGGGACGTCGCCGAGTCGGCCTCGTCCCAAGGTACGCCCGCGCAGCTTGCCGCCGCTCTCTCAGGCGATTGATCAGTGTCGGGACTGAGCCCTCGAGCTCCACAGTCCGGTCAGCACCCGGGACAGCTCCGACGAAACAGGGATGGGCTCAGCTCGCCGCCGCTCTTTCAGGCGATTGGTCAGTGTCGGGACTGAGCCCACAGGCTCCAGAGTCCGGTCGGCACCCGGGTCGGCTAAGACGAGACAGGGGTGGGCCAGCTCGCGTCGGCAGCATCTTCATGCCTTCAAAGCGGCGTTTGCGATTTTAGCGGGGGAACAGTACTGGCAGCTTAAACGAGGCCTCGACTCGCGAGCCATAACATTTCCATATCACGGAGCTGTCCCATCAGGCACTCAGGGCGAGAGCGTGGGGGTGGGGGTTGAGGCGGGGAGCGTCACCGAGCGTGACACTTGCGCTGCACGCGAGTCCGACACAACTGGACCACGAGTGTGCAGGCACGGAGGCCGACAACCCGGTCAGCACGACCACACGAGGCAGGCACGGGCAGCGCGAATGGCGCCGTGCGAGGGGCTCAGGCCGCGCAGCAGCGAACGCCGGCTTGAGCGACGCTGGGCGTACAAGGAAAATCCAAAGAGTACATATTTATGTCAGAGTTTCGAGCACATTTGCCAGGAGCATATTTGCTAAAAAGAAAAAAGTTAGTGTCCAGAGTAGTCTTTTCCAACAAAAGGATACAAACAGTTATAAGTCAGCTGTTTCATCAGATCTGATACCTGCTTCAATATCACGAAATGTGGACCATTCCCTTAAATGCCCTTCAGCTAGCTTTTGCTCTCACCCACCTTCGCAGAACATCCAGAAGTAGTTCGCCACCATGAAGTATTGCACAATTATGTGGATGGCTCGACACCAGGCCTGGAACACAAACAGCGAATGATTAAAACATGTCATATCCGACACGCAATGACGGGAAATAACCTGCAGAACAACATTATAAATATGATATCCTAATATATTTGAAGATATATAGGTGTGTATATGCATGTATATATATATATGTATATATATATATATATATATATATATATATATATATATATATATATACATGCATATATCACATTGGCAGCAAACAGGCCTATGGTCTCATTCAGTAGAACTGGGCTGAACGCCATGGTCTGTGCACATACAATTGGGGAGCGGGTCATGCTGGATGCGGCCGACCGACGGTATATACCAGCGCCTCATTGTTTAACGATGCGTCCATCACTCGTGGCTGTCGGCGGCAGGCCCAGCCGACGTTAAATATTTACCGCGCGTCAGGACAACCACGGGGCCCCCTCTCTCCAACTCTCTGCGAAAACGGCGAAGCCGCGAAAATCAAGAAGAGTAAGGGTGGGCGATAGTAAATGGGTGAACGCGTGAGTGCGTGCGTGAGTGCAAGCCTGAGTGGGCGGATGAGTGAGTGTGAGGTGAATGAGCAAATCATTGAGACCTGAGCGGATGGGCTTGGTGGGTGAGGGTAAGTTGATGGATGATGAAGGGATGAATAGTGAGTGATCGAGTGGGAGAGACGATGTGCGAATAAGAAAGTGAGTGTATACTTGCGTGTGTAAATATGCGAGTGCGTGAATGAAGCCATGCATGAGTGCTTGCATGCATGATGCCATGTATGTATGCATTATTATGCGTCCATGTGTATGTATGTATGCATATGTGTATGTATGCATGTATGCGTGTATGTATTGAGTACGTATGTATGGACGAATAGATGTGCTTATATGCACGTATGTATGTGTGTATGTATTGAGTATGCATTGATGGGTGGATGTGTATGCATGTACGTACGTACGTCTGTGCGTATGTATGTATGTATGTATGTATGTATGTATGCATGCATGCATGCATGCATGCATGTATGTATGTATGTATGTATGTATGTATGTATGTTTGTATGTATGTTTGTATGTATGTTTGTATGTATGTTTGTATGTATGCATGTACGTATGTACGTATGTGTGTATGTATGTGTATGTGTATGTGCATGTATATATGCATTGTGTGTATGTATGTGCGCATGTATATACGTATGCATGCATGCATGTGCCTGTGGATGTATGTACGTATGTAACAGCGTGTGTCAGCTCCAGCCGCCGCGCCGCACAGCAGCCAGGCCTCGCTGCTATGCATGGGACGGCAGCGCGACTGTTGACTCTAATCTCCCCATCCTCAGGGACGCCCCGCCAGCGCTGCTACGCTGAACTGTTTAGTTTAGATCAGCAGGACGGAAATCGCCCCTAAGACACGGCACGCCTTTCAGACCAAATTTGACCAAGTTAGGGAGCATTAGAGAGTGTCAGCTTAAATAGGGTCTTCGATGGCGACGCCAGGGTGGATGGGAGTTTCGAAACAGCTCAGTGAAATACCCCGCAGCACACGTGGGCCTTCCTTACATCAGCACGAAATTTGATACCGCACGAGGTATATGCCGAGAGACAGGGTTGGAGTCAACAAGTCATATCAGACAGACATGGGCAATATACATGCACTTGCGTCCGATCTTAGCACTAGTGTGTTTGTTTTAGCTTGTAACAGGGTTCAATCTCAGCACTTTTGAGGAGCGCCTTTAGCAGCAACACAGTACCTAGCGCGATTAGTTCTGCATAATTATGACGTGTGCTATGTCCCAGAACTCTCTGTTCGCAGGGCTTAAGATAAAATACCACGTGTGATCTGTTAGCTGTATGTCTGCTCGCAGGCGGAAATACCTGAGGATTCTCGTCTGGGCAGTCAAGCCAAGCTCAACGAATTCGTGTTTTGGCTTAGTGAACATGAGTCATCTGAAAACAGCAATGCGCTCAGATAGGCGTTCTGTATGCACACCGCATGACTGTACAATAAGCTTACTTCCGTTTGGAACGATATTCTCCACCTGCACCGTATTCTTCACGATATCGTTTCTCACTACATTTACATTAAAGTTACAATTCACGTGACTGGGATCCTATCGTTTCAGTAACATGCGTGAGTCAGACAAGATTGTTTAGTGGCATTGAAACTGCAGGTTTGTTTGCAAGCTTGAGTTGTCAATGGCGATATACGTTACGAATGCAACTTTGAAGCAAGACGCAGCGGCTATGAAGCCATCATCAAGCATGAACAGGAATAATCGTTAGGAAACCCAGGAGCGGCGGAAACGCAGGAGGAAACGCAGGAGTATGTTTGTTCGCGCGGGCTCAACGGAAAGGTCCGATTCGCGCAGGTCATCATAGTAGGCGTTGCGGTATATTTCGGAGCGTTACAGATAACATTGACCTGCTTTTTGCTGGGAACGAGGAACTGAAACTGTCTGTGAAGAAGATAACGATGACCGATCAACCGACAAATCATCGACAATTCGAGTAAAACATAAGTGTCTTTGAAACATCTCTTGATTTGAGAAGATAACGATGACCGATCAACCGACAAATCGTCGACAATTCGAGTAAACACATAAGTGTCTTTTGAAACATCTCTTGATTTGAGAAGATAACGATGACCGATCAACCGACAAATCATCGACAATTCGACTAAAACATAAATGTGTTTTGAAACATCTCTTGATTTGAGAAAAAAACATTTTACAGGTTTTGAAGAATGACGGTGGATAATAAATACACAGTGTTCTAATGCGAAAATTTCGTTTTCACGGTGTCGAATTTCACGGAGGCTCGTGTTTACCCTGTGTGCTAAACGTATTAGAGCGCAAGAGAGAGCGCTTCTGACATGCATTTCAAGTGGTTGTTTGTGCTTTAATTTATGCTCTGAACATTTGCTCGAAATCTTACGCAATTATGCGGAATAATTACAGGCATTTTCTTGTTTTAAGCTATTATCATTACCATATCATCGGCTTTGACTAGTCTGATCACAAGCCTGGATTAAAGACCGCATACACCCAGTCAAGCAGTGTACACATATACCCACTCAAGCAGTGTTTTGCAGCATCACCCCGCCCCCTGCCGACGCTACGCAACATTGGCACAAGCGTGGCACAAGCACACACGTCCACATGGCCGGTTGAATGCCGTTCGCTCGGATAGGGGAGGAGGCCATTTGACCCCTGCGCTCTCAAAGATTGGGAGAGCTAGAAACACTAAATTCACAGGGTAGGTTGGCCAGTATGTAATCTCACTTGTGCCTAAATTTGGGGTGTCTGAGTCGTGGCCTTTGTGCTATATATGATCAAACAAGGTCAAACTACAGGTTGGTGCCAAAAGCGTTTTCAGACCTCCTTATGCAACCACCTTGAACCTAGATATCTGTTATAAGCAAAAGGTCACTGGTTTCGTGTCAGGTCAGAAAATTTGATTGATCTTTAAAAGGTCATGCTGACCAAAATCCTACGAGATTGTTTTAACTTTTGTATTTGAATAAACGCCAAGCAGAAGATACGCCAGGCAGTATGTTCCTAAAACCAAAATGTTGCACTTGGTCGCTTTAGGTCAGTGACTTACTCTGAAGTTTTAGTAGTCCCTGCAAAATATCTGTTGCGGTCTCTGTAGTCAATGAATTCGAAATGAGCACTAGAAATTAGCTCGTACAGAACCTCTAGAATAACCTCTAGAATAAGCTCTAGAAATTAGTTCTAGAATAAAATAACAGGTTAGCTTAATCTTTATTCATACCTGACCTGACCTTGATGTGACCCGACGTCAACAGTTGGCCCCCAACCTGACCCTAGTCAATGCAGTTGTGTTCCAAGTATAACTTAAATTGCTCTGCTGTCTAATAAACTACCTCAGAGATGTATGGCTTTGTCTAATACTCCGTCGTTGCACCATATTGAACGATTCCCTAGAAATTGCCTTCACTGAGAGCCACGGCCCGATTTTGACCTGCCATAGGTCAGCGATTTTACAGGGTACATCTAGCTTTTCAATTCAAATGATCGGTTTTTACGTAACCTGCAGCCACGCAAACTTTGGCACGGTTGCGCCGCGCCGTTTATATACCTTCGGGTGGTCGAATGGACCCCCACCCAAGCGCATGCCCACACCAGGTTACGGTCCATCTGTTGATCAGTTCTTTGTAGTGAAACAACCACCGCTGGATTAAGGGGCTATATCACCTTGGCATGGCGGAATTAGCAGTAAACTTGCAGTGGTCTTGCTCTTCTCATAACGTTTATCTCAGCCGCCTTAATATATGACAAAAATCACACAAAACATCGCCGGAAGACATTATAAACTTGACGCCTGCACGGGCTAGACTTCCAACATCCATCAGGGGCTGTGCCCATACTCCCCGCTACTCGTTCTCAATCAGTTACAAGCACCCGGTACCTGCCCGTTGGCATGAGGAATTTCACCACAAGACACAGCATAACTTCTTTGCATTGGTATTTGCTGACGTAGGGTGAATAGAATCCTGTTCATGATAAACAGAGGCACAATCAGTTACATTACCTCGTAGCGGCGTCATAGTTCTCGAGCTTTACACCAGAAATTTCGCAAACGCCGTGCTGATACTATGCGGCATTTTCCTAAATCCGCACTCAACCGACCCGTTGCCTACTTTATATGGACACTCATGAGCTTACCAAAGTCGTGAAGTCATACGTGTTTACGAGACAACTTCTGTATGTTTGGGGAAAGTCTAATTTTCGTCCCACCCCTCCCTCTGCCCTACCGCCCACCGCGTCCAGGTGATTACGACGCTTTGCTTGTGTGCTTTACGTTTACCGTTGCTGTCTCCACTTATCACGGCTCACATAAATGCCAATATTTCACTCGTCGACGATGGTAACGTAGTGGTTCGATGGTAAACTGACTTACCAGGTCACGACCAGCCTGTCAGTACTGGGGTGACACGCCGGCCGCCCGACCTCTCTGGGTCTTGACATGTGACTTACCGGATTTTCGTCCAGGAGTCGCACGTCGTCTACGATGAACTCGTACCAAATGATCCACATGAAGTTGTTGATCATGAACGAGATGAAAAGGTTCGTGTGGATCCGAACCCGTGTCGAGTTCAGAGCAGATCTGAAAAAACAAGGCATATTTACTGTAGCTACGGATGGATGGCCACTGGCTGGCAGCAAGAGACGTACGACTCAGCTGATGTTTGGCGTCGCATTGTTTTCGACTGATCAACATGCCATTCATACACAAAAAAACAACGGGATGAGTCTTCAAAGTACATCTTGCTGGTCGAAAGCAGGTTGAGAGAGCGTTCATACCTTTAATGCGTATCCTGTCGCATCGACTAGATCGAGTATTTGACACCCTGCACCGCCTTAACGAATGTAGTTTCAATGAACGGTTTAGCGACCCAGACCTAGCCAACGCATTCTAGAAGGGAGTTTCTGAGCTGCTAATGGACTCAGAACACTCAAGGACTTGCGAGCCGGCGCCGACGACAGGCGGCGGCATGCCTGCGCTGTCGGCCGTGCTCAGGTGCTGAGCACACCAGCGAGCCATTAGCAGCGATTAGGGACGTGCTGTCAGGCCAGCTGCGCTTCAGCTGTCATGAGCTCGTGTTGTCCGCTTGACGAGAGTCGAACCAGCTCGCTGCTATCGCCACTGCAAACCGTCCGATCGGCCAGCGGATCGGGCCGCGGGTCGGGCCGAGGGTCGGGCTGAGGGTTGGACCGAGGGTTGGGCTGAGGGTCGGGCTAAGGGTAGGGCTGAGGGTTGGACCGGGAGTCGGGCTGAGGGTCGGGCTAAGGGTCGGGCTGAGGGTCGGGCTGAAGGTCGGGCTGAGTGTCGGGCTAAGGATCGGACCGAGGGTCGGGCTAAGGGTCGGGCTGAGGGTTGGGCTGAGCGTTGGGCTGAGGGTCGGGCCGAGGGTCGGGCTAAGGGTCGGACCGAGGAGCGCCCCACTCGCGAGACACGCGGTTGTGTCCGAGGGTCGTGTCTCAGGGTCGGGCTGAGGGTCGGGCCGAGGGTCGGGCTGAGGGTCGGGCTGGGGAGTGCCACGCTCACCAGACACGCGGTCGTGTCCATGGGTCGAGCTAGGCGCGGATTGCTCGCCAGACACGCAGCCGTGTTCGTGCGGTTAGGCGATGCTTCACGGCCTCGCTCGCCGCTTTATAAAACTCGGAACATCTAATTCGGTAGGACTAAATCAGCAAAAATGGCCGGGCGGGGATTTAGGCCCCGGGAGAGGGTTGGACATGTCGGCGATTTCAGTGCAGAAGTGCAGTCTGCGGCGTTCGTATTCCTCATATTGCCGGCCGGGTTCGGATACCGCCCGCGGCGCATTCATCTACCACACCCGCCGCAACAGGCAGCAGACGTCGCCGTGCCATTGATCGCAACAGTGAGCCCAGAAACAGTGCATTCAAGTTACCGCTAACAGTTACCGCTAAAAATCCGGCAATCTAAGCGTGCAGGCCATCTCGTGATTGCGACCTAGACCTCCGCGCGGCATAAGCGGTCGATATGCGCTTCCCTGCTGTCTCGTTCACTGACGGCATGATGGGCCCTAATGGCATCATGGGCCGTTAAAAGGCTGGGCCCGGGGCATCCGACTTTGTTCGAAGGCAGCCACATCTGGGTCGGCTGGTACCATTCACCTATACTGTGTCACGCATGTGTCGCTGCAACTGACGCATAACAGGTCCTGCGTGGGCCACGTGTGAGGTGGTACAGTCAGTGTGAGGTGGCGCAGTCGGTGTTCTACGCAAGTTCAAGCTCTCAATCAGAACTCCGTTAATAATGAGATCGCTAGATTGGCTGTGTTGTGTGGTTGCTGATTCAGAACTTCAGCAATTATGTCAATATGTGAATTGTTTGTCTTGCACGCGTATGTCTCGTATGGCTGCAGAAGTGCGTACAGCATGCGTATAGTTGTTGCTTCGCTTCCCAAATGTTATGCCATCTTTCGTCATGCCAATGTCATTCGTTCTTATCGTTTTAATACACCTGCAAGGTCTACGAACCACAGTCAATACTACGGGTCAAGGCTAATACAAGTGTACCAATCAGCTATTCGGAGACGGAGGCGGAGACAGAGACGGAGATGGGGACGGGGACGTGGACGGGGACGGGGACGGGGACGGGGACAGGGCCGGAGATAGAGACGGAGACGGAGACGGAAACGGAAACGGAAACGGAGACGGAGACGGAGACGGAGACGGAGACGGAGACGGAGACGGAGACGGAGACGGAGACGGAGACGGACAAGGACAGAGATAGAGACAGTCAAAGTAAGAAAAGAAACACAAGCACAAACACAAACACAAACACAAACACAAATACAGAGACAAAAGCAGACAAAGACAAAGATGAAGACAAAGACAAAGACTAAGACAAAGACGAAGACAAGTAAAAAGGCAAAAAGCAAGAAAGGTACATGTATAAAGACAAGTGCAAAGACAAAGACAAAGACAGAGAAAAGACAAAGACAAAGACAAAGACAAAGACAGAGACAAAGACAAAGACAAAGACAAAGACAAAGACAAAGACAAAGACAAAGACAAAGACAGATACAAAGTCAAAGACGAAGTCAAAGTAAAAAACAAACACAAACACAAACACAATCACAAACCCAAACACAAACACAGACACAAAAACAAAGACAAACACAAACAAAGGACAAAGATAAAGACAAAGACAAAGGCAAAGACACAATGAAACAGAAAAAGACGAGAATAAAAAAGAGAAAGAAAAGGAGAAGGAGAAGGAGAGGGCGAGGGAGTAGAGGGAAAAAGAAAAATAGACGAGGAAGGATAAGGAAAAGCAGAAAGAGACGGAGACAGACAGAGAGATGTTTTGTTTTAGGTCGCGTGCCAAGCCCAGCGATCATTAAAAAAGCAATGATCACATGTATCCCCAGAAGCTCTTTTGAACCTCACAGAGGCAATCATCTTACGACATTGCAAATGTGAATTCTGCCTTGTTCTATCTGCTCCTCATGGGAAATGGCATATCCAAGCTCAGCTCACTCCGTTCCATAACACAGAGGACGATTCAATACATTACATAATAGGCAATAGGCAAGGAATTTGCACCACTAGCAACAGTCTCTAGCTAACGTATAACATCAACCACATGTAGCCCAATATGGAAAGACAAAGAGCGAAATTTGCATCTGCTCCCACTATCCGTGTAAAGGTTTCACCACCACACAGCCGGCCTAAATGCCGTGTTGAGGTAATGTGAGGCCACAGCTCAAAAAAGGAACCTTGTTTACACCATCCAGCTGCAAGTCAGGTAAGATACCTGATATAAGATAGTAAAAAATGATGTAGATATACAGAAGAGGCATCACAATAATGAAAACAGATCAGACAGAAAAGTAAGGTTAGGAACACAAGATACTCCACCGGCTGGTGCAATAGATATGGACAAGTGAAGCAGGCCACAGCGGCGGAAAAAGCGAATTATCCACAGATTGCACATTGTGAAACTTTTGAGGCGTGGTGGCCCGGCGCAGTCGGCCAGCTCCGTGTGGCGACCATAAAAACTCACCGGAAACACATAAAGATGACCAGTGATATCAGGATTGCGGCGAGAGAAATCGAATAGCCGCACAGGTACACCATGTTGACGATATTTCTCAACTGGAAACAAGAGACACCATTTCAGCACATGATACATAACACAATGCGAAAGCTGGGGGCGGTTCAGATATGTTCAAAAACATCATCTCTAACATAACCCGAAGCACTGGCGGTGATATTGTTGCCTTGCAAATATTAACCCAGTTATTGGTAAAATCTCCGTCACAAACAGAAATAGAAAGTATGCACTGATTAGTCCGAACACAACGTTAAGTGCTGCGATGTCAATTTCCCGAACTTGCCCTGTCAGTGGGAGAGGGGCAGGCTATCCAGCCACTGGGAGAGGGGCAGGCTACCCCGCCAGTGGGAAATGGGAGGGTCATCCTGTAAGTGGGAGAGGGGCAGGCTACCCTGCAAATATTACCGGAAGTGTTGCATCTATCACTGAGACTGTCATTTGTATGACTTCCTAAGACACCAGTGCTGGTTGATGCTCTTGGAAGTCATAAAATGAAGTTCTCAGTAGACATCGATCTCCGAGTATCGCCTGCGGCCAGCAATTCCATCCTCTCTGATATATGAGTATTTGAAGGAACAAAACGCTGGGAGAGGGGATGCGTCTCATTAACATTGTAAACGCTTGCAGTTTTACGGAAAGATTGAGACGAGGTCTCAGTATCATGGATGGAGCAGCTGTTCGGACTACCGCTTTTATCTGATGTGCTAGTATGAACACAACCTTTCTGCCACTTAATTCTCCAGCCGACGTCAGGTGTCATTGGGTCATAAAAGTGACTTAATGATGCTAACTTTGTGTACACACTAGCACATCCGACGAGTGCGATAGTCTGAATGATTACTCCATCCGTGTTTGCAGACTTCAACTGTGCTTGAACACATAGTTTAGTTGCTGTCGGAAGCGGTTTATTCGCTTTTAAAAGCTGTGGACGTGACTAGTGAGCCGGATACCGACTATCATAGCCAGACGATCTTCTACAGCGTGAAGCGTTTATACATCGACGCTGACAATTTCCTTGCAGCGCAACGAAAACTTGTTTGGTATTGACATCTAAACAGTTGTATTTGCATCCAGGGCTCCACGGAGACAAAGGTCTGCATTGGCGAGAACGACGGCATGCCCTAGCCTGGCAATCATAGCCTTTCGCGCTGTAATGACCCATTTATACTGTGCTGTTTCGAAGCTGACAAGTCTAGCTAAAATTGCATGGTTCGCAATCTCACAAGCCGTTTGGAGACTCACAGGATCAATATCAAGTAATAGGGGCCTCGTTGGCCACAATGGAAATGCTGGACAGAAGCCGAGGTCGCTCACCATGCTCGCGATTAGCCTGCAGCCAGGGCAGCGTACCAGCAACTTTGGCATGTCACGACACAGCATGTCAGCCCCGGAGTGCTCTCCTCTGTCATGCCGGATGGCATTAAAAGATGCGGAACACATTTTGGGATTTCATGATAATCGAGCGTGTTGGTGCATAATTTGATTTTAAGACACTTTGATCCACAAACAGACTGCAAGTTACTAAACAAACAAAAGTCTCTTCGATCTGCCCGCAATATCGATAATCCCCTATTAGAAATCATGTTTAGAGATTGACAGCACAGACATGCGTACCAAGAAAGCGAAACAGGCGCAACAGCGCGAAAACGGCGACACCGGTATTGGCACCAGGAGCACCTCGGGCCCGGCAAGCACAGGACAGCTGGTGCAGAGCACCTACGGCCCAGCCAGCACATAAAGGTTTGTGCAGAGCACCTAAGACCTGGCCAGCGCAGGACGGCTGGAGCAGAGGCACCAAGGCCCGACCAGCGCAGGACGGCTGGAGCAGAGTCACCTAAGGCCCGACCAGCGCAGGACGGCTGGAGCAGAGGCACCTAAGGCCCGGCCAGCGCAGGCCGGCTGGAGCAGAGGCACCTAAGACCTGGCCAGCGCAGGACGGCTGGAGCAGAGGCACCAAGGCCCGACCAGCTCAGGACGGCTGGAGCAGAGGCACCTAAGGCCCGGCCAGCGCAGGACGGCTGGCGAGGAGCTGCTTAAGCCCGGCCGGCGCAGAGCGGCTAGTGCTGTCGACCTTGGCCTGTCACGTACGTCGAGCGGTGCCGTACTCCATGGCCGGCTCCAGCAGACGCCTAGCCGGGCGGGTCGGTTTTAATCGGCCTCACGATGAGATGATGGGGCGTGTGAGACAGAAGGGCGCCTCTGGCGTCTCAGTCTGAGAAGCTCGCCACGAGGACTACCAAGCAGCCTCGGAGGCGGGGCTTGAGCAGCAGGGGCAGGCCCACCGCCAGCAACTGCCGTGGCTGAGACACGCGAGGATCGGATGAGGGGAGGGGAGAGGAGGGTCTCTCTCCCGCCAGAGACCAAATAGCACCGTATGGTCGGAATTAGACCGTGGATGACACGCGGGAATTGATGGGCGATGTACCCCACATGCATTATGATCAGAGAAGGGGATGGGTATATGTAGGACTAAGACATAACAACTGCATAGGCTGGATAATAAGCGCCCGAGCTCTACGCATAACATGGTTGATCCGTCGCTCAGCCACCGAATATGCATCTATGCATCGAAATATGCTCAGGGCCAAACATGAGATTGGAGCCAACTGCTCCTTTTATGTCATGATATGTTTGCTGCAGCCTTGCGCCGTAATTTCAGGCAAACAACACTCGCTAATAAAATGTTCCGAGATAAACGCCGCATTAATCACAAAATCACATTAATTGCCCTCGGGTCTTGAGCAAGCCGTTTCAACGCCTCAAGCAAGCCGTTTCGAGCTGGACTGCCAAACACGCTTCTCAGGCTACCCAATCCCTCACGATCAATCACCTCCTGTTTGACATTCATGGCGCCCTCGGGTTGAGCCGCGGACGGTTCCTGCGAGCGGATGGCACCGACGGCCGGCCAGCGACGCGCTGCCGACCGCCGGGCCCCGGCGCCGCCCCTGCGCCGCCCCTGTCGATACCGCCGCCCATATGGACTGTGTTTGAGAGCGCTGGTCATGCTGCCGCCACCAAACATCGCAGCCGCAATTGCATCATGTAGCCGAACCATATGGCGATCGGTTCATATTGGATCGACGATAACGGTGGTGGGGGACGGGGAAGGGGCAGAGGCGGGCCCAGGACATATTCTGAGAGGAACATTTTGAGTGTTATTTTAGACACATTGTGATACATGTGAGCGTTTTGGGCCATGTTGCAAGACACGTCTCTCGGAGTGCGTCGGTTCCCTCCCCAGTCTAGATCCGCCTATGGCACCCCACACGCTGCCTGGTGCCCCCGGATCGCATTGCACGACCCGCACGAGCCGCGCTTGGATGGCAGAGCCCTCTCCCCAGCCACTGAGATGCCCCCCCCCCCCCCCACTTCTGGGAGTGACTCACTGGCCCATAACAAACCTCCTCGACCGGGGCAACAAAAACTACCATAAAGCCGTCATCTGTGGTGATATCACGGGGCGTTTGTTGCCCATCTGCGCCCTCCCGGTGCAAGTGCATTGAAGCACGTCAGAGCGCCCGCTGTCGGGGAGTCGCTCGCACGCGGCGCCATCCCACGTGTTTGCCGCGTTTCCTCAAATAAACCGCGGAATCGGTTTACGCGCCGTATAACGGCCGCTATTTTGCGGCGCCGATATTGCCGTCGGCTGCCAAAATCCACAGCGGCCGTGAGGGTTCGTCCATAAATTTCGTTGCACTTGGAGGGAGGTGGGGGAAGGCTTTTGATGGGCGTTACCGATGTGTAACAAGGTGAAATGGTTTGAACAGCGTGACGTGGCGGTAAGGCACGGTTGAAACTACGCTAGAGTCGGTAAAAATAGACGATTTTGAAACCTTAAAGCCGGATATCGTTGGCTTTCTTGCAGGACAACAAGCAGTCATGCTTCTTCAATTCTAGCTCACTTCGTAGCCAATTAAACGTAGGACGTTAGAGGCGCTAAGACTAACACGGCGTAACGAGGGGGTTTCCGTCCAGTGTAACCAGCGCGCAACCGGAGGAAAGGGAGCAAAACAAGTAGCAAAAACGGTGCAGTCCAATTTACTGGTAATTGAAGGGCGACCTCGGTCGAACATACCAACTCAGCCCGTCTGGGGGCTGAGTGTACTGGACCAACCGAACATACCACTTCGGCCGGTCTGGAAGCTGAGTGTACTGGACCAACCGAGCATGCCAATTCGGCCGGTATGGGGGCTGAGTGTACTGGACCGACCGAACGTGCCAACTCGGCTGGTCTGGGGGCTGAGTGTACTGGACCAACCGAGCATGCCAACTCGGCCGGTCTGGAAGCTGGGTGTAATGGACCAACCGAGCATGCCAATTCTGCCGGTATGGGGGTTGAGTGTACTGGACTGTCTGAACATGCCAACTCGGCCGGTCTGGGAGCTCAGCGCACTGGGAAGATGGCGGAGGCCCATGGTCAGTTTTTGAGCATGCTCAACGTAAGCTATATGGTGAATCGCGAAAAGTATCGCATTTTATGTTCCAGCACCTATTTTGGTGCAGGAACATCTATTTGGTGCTGATTAAAACTGAATATAACAGCCTCCCTACCAGCTGCCAAGAGATGGGTTCACTTGATCCACCACATTTAAACATATCCCTCTCCATTTTTTAAGGGCCTTTGATTTGAACGCAAGTGTGGCGTTGTTGGTTCTTTTCGTAACTTAAGCTTAAATATTTATATCAAAACCTAACCGACAAGACACAAATGGAAGATAAGTCGTACATTTGGCACTAACCACCAAAACACAAATCATACAATTACTTAGATATAACTACCGACGGAAGAGGGACATAATTATGCACAAAAAGCACACCTAAGCAAACTAGGAAACTGAAACCAAACCGAAAGTTTCCGGTGATGTTTTTCCAATGTTACCTCGCGGGGAGCATCCACTGGCCGTGGTGCCCATTCGGATAGTCCTGAGGGTTTTCGGGCAGCATTCGCGTGCCACTTGAGCTAGCTTCTTGAAACTTGGCTGTTTGGAACTTCGCCTTGCACACTAAATGATGTAATTTGTATGTTTATATGTATGTTGCCTCGCACGTCCAGTGATGTAATTCGTGTGTTTATACATACCGCACAGGCGGCCCACGCCATGGGCATGGGCAGGCCACGACTATATTTAGGGCACATATATGTTTTGGCAGATTCTACGAATTAGGCTAGGCACGTTAACGATTACACTGTCTGTGGGCGGCCTCCGAAATTTGGGCAGCCTACGTGCATGCAGACAGGCATACAATGTGACGTAAAATGTCAGGGTTCCGCCTGTATGAACAATCAAACAGACGGAAATATCCGTTTTGCCGAAGCCAATCGTGAAGATCTAAATAGGCACTTCCACTGTCGACAGGGACCGGCAGGTGACAAATGGCATGCGAAGTAGAACTTCAAACACTGTTGAGATCTCCGCATGCCCCTATTTAAGGGGTTGGAGGGGACAGGTCAGACGTACGTGCAGGTCGCTGAGGTCGACGCAGGTGGTGTAGTTGGACCAGCCGGCGGACTCCGGCTGCTGGGGGTGTCGGAACCACTGGCCGCTCGGAAGGCACGACCGGATCGCCTGGCCTGCAACAGCGGGACACACTCCGCGTCAGCCGCGCCGCAGCTCTCTCGCCTGACGGGGATCGGCTGCGCGTAGGCACCAAGGGCAGTCGGTGGGTCGTGATGAACAACGACAGACAAACGGCACTGCAACGAATGGTGCTTTCTTTGGTTTACTACTGTTGACGCTTACATGTAGCTGGGGACTTTACAGCGCTAAAAATTGCACGCTCGTGAAAACCAGTTTTCTGCAAGGGCATCTGATGGCTCCACAACATAAGTGGCGGCTCGCTAAAGCGATACATTCTTAACAGATGTCCATATTACATCATTACAAAGCTACACTTACTGCATGGCAGTGGACCATATAACTTTTTTATTACCTGAACTGGTGTATTCCATCGCAGTTTAATAATGCAGCTTGTTTTTATACGAGAAATCACGGCATCTTACGAGTATCCAGGGAATTGCACACATTATTCTAAGACGACCAGGATCGGTGGTAACATGGGACGACGCTGCTATCGGCAGTGTCTACTCCAGGATTCGACAAACTGGACCCACATATCCTGCATCGAATGCTACTGGGGAGCATCCGGTGTTTCAGTCCCGGGAAGCAAATGTGGAAAGTTTTTGGCCCCGACGAAAGGTGCCTCGGTTGGCTGACTGTTGGCATCCATGGGCTGGGTCGGGCCACCACTGGTGAACCCACATTCTGCGCTGGTGCACATGCAGGGTTTTGCTCGGCCACGGTCGCGCGTCAGCCCTTATCAGTGACCGCGCGCCGGAGGCACTTCCACTGCGCCGACTGCTCCGCATTTCGTGGTACTGTCTGCAATGCGCGGAAATAGGCCCAGGCCCGTTTTTGCAACTGGGATGAAATTCGCCCCTGGCCCGTTGAATGGTGTCCGAGCGCGATGCTTAATTAGAGGCGACGCCGCGGCTTCACGGCTGGAGACGGCAGCGGCACTTCATCGCGTGCCGGCCGGCCTCTGGTTAATGAGCGTGGGAGCTGCCAGATGGCGAGACCGAGCTTCCGCTGGTACGCGAATAACGATGTGTGGAACTGCTCGGTCGTTCGGGGCTCGGAGCTAATGCATACGACGTGCCGACCGGTCAATAACACGCGACGCCCTCAGATGTATGGTGGTCTCCTGTTGCGGGCGTGCATCGGGGAGGGTGCTGATGACGCCTTGTTATCGGAAAAATCGTGGTGTCACGTGCGAAGACCATATGCGCCAAGAAAACAGACTTTGAGGGTGGCGTTGTCTAAACACCGACACCGCGCGTGCGAGTTCCACTGTTTTCAGGTGGTATTTTGTGTTTTCTGATATCGGTGACATCTCAAACGACGCTACGATGACAATCTGTGGCCCAGGCTCATCTTCTGATCTGTGCCTCCTGCTATGTCTGGCTTTTTGGACCTCCTTTGTTTCAAACTGCGCACTACCTGCGTCGCGCCGGCCATGTTTCTTGACATGCGGCGTCTTTGGACACGGGCATCCCCGGTCGTCCGACCCCAGATTCTAGCCTATGGGCGAGAGTGGATCACCGGTCACCCGTTCCACGGCGCATGCGCACGATCGGTCGCACCTGCTGACCGTGTGTAACCGGCTGGACGGGGGCTTGGCTCGTGGGATGACCGAGACCATCCGGCACAGCCTACCAGCCCACCCGTCCCGTCTGATCCGCCGCCGGCGAGGTCGGCCGGCGGGCGCGGGCGCCGGTCAACCGATCCGGATCATGTGCGCGGCTGGCCGCTGCCGCCCTGGTCGCGCTGCTGGTGTAGTACACCGGCCACCGACGCTAGTGTTGCCCGCCAGGCGAGCTGTGCCGCAGGCTCGGCGGGAGTATGCGACCGTGGCGGGCACGGCTGAGTCCGCGAGGAGTCACCTCTTCAATATTGGTCACAGCAGTGTCCGGCCGCTGGCACCACGACTGGACGAAGTCAACCAGCTCCTACCGAATCACCACATGAATACCCTGTATGTATCTGAGACATGGCTCAAGCCTGAGGTACTCAACAGGGTGCTGATATTCCCGGGTTTCAGACTGCTGAGAGACATCAGTCTCGAACAGCTTGTCGTCAAGCCCATCCACCTTCACCCGACACCACCAACGCTAGACCTGATCGTCATCAACGTGACCGGTCCCCATAACTCAGCTGAGGTTCTCCTCGAGGCTGTGGCGGACCACCATCCGGTGCCACTCCGCGATTCCGTCCCCGGAGAGCGCCGACAGGCAGTCATCCACTACCGTGCGACCGTTGCAACGCGTCGACTCGGACGCCTCCAACCTGTGTCTGCTACTCGCCGATTGGGAGCCGCTCTACGCCGCTAGCACCACCGATGACAAGGCGGACGTATCTGTGGAAGTATGGAACGTCGCAGTCGATGCTCACTGCTCGGTCATCACCGTGACGTCACGCCGGCCCGGCCGTCCGCGGCTGCGTGGATGTACCGAAGTCTCCGCAGCTGTGGAGGAGCGTGACTGCGCCCGCGAGACCTGAGAGCGCTGTCGTACCACAGGGGCGCGCCGCGTGTACCAGCGGCACCGTAACAGAGAGAAGGGGCTGATCATTCTCGCACGATGTTCCTTCCTGTGCATCGGTCTGCTGACAGGGCGGCGAGACTTCTGTAGCCGCCTCAAGCAGTTTGGATTGCAGCCAGCGGAAGGGTGCGACACACCCGATTACGACATGGGCACCCGGGCGGACGCACCCAATGCCCATTTTGCTGTCAATGGCCCCCGCATCGCTGTGGAGGCGGCGGAGGTGCGTGCCGGTGTGAGTGCGCCCCCGGTTGGACAGCACCCGCATCCTGGCAATGCCTCGGCTTTCTCCCTGCATCCATCCACTCTATAGGAGCTCTCTGTAGCCATCGAGAAGATGAGCGCGCTGAGGACTGCCGGCATCGATGGGGTACCACTCCATGCAGTGAAAAGTATTTCCCTGTAATCGGCGCTCATCTTTTACATCTAATTAATCTTTCTATCACATCACACCCTTTTGGCACGGTCTGGAAGATCGCGCGGGTCACCCCGGTGTTCAAGTCTGGCGATCGATAAGGCATCAGCAACTTTCGGTCATTTCTGTTCTCCTTGCACCGTTGAAAATTTCCGAAAACGTCGTTTGCTCGCAGCTCACTTCCTGCCTGTGAGCTTCAGTGTACCGGGCGCGCTCCTCAACCACCACACCACCTCATCTGGGAACCTCACACCTCCTCACTTGTTCGGCACTGTAATGTGAACCTCGTACCCCTGTCCAAAATCAGACACCACTTGACTTCTGAGGTTTAAAAGCTCCAGGTCCAAATTCACGCCTTCCCCATATCCTCTACTGTCTGTTTATCTGCGGTGGAGCAGCCGAGCGTCACCTAGACAGGATGCAGAGGGTGCTGCACTTCGCAGCCAGACTAGTGAGTGGTGTCTATCGCAGCGATCACATCTCACCTGCCCTGGAAGCACTCGGCTGGCGTAGCGTCGCGGATCATGTGCAGCACCGGCACCGCCTGCATTTGTTCAGGGTACTGTACGTCCCCGAATCCCCCAGTGTAATGCATGCTTTATTCGAGAAGCGCGCCGAGTCTCCCCAATGTCAAACTTGGGCTGTTCCGGGCGGTATCGGTGCGCCACATCTGCTGCATGCCCGACTGACTGCCACCCAGCGGCACTTTCCGTACCGCGCTGCCGCCGCGCGGAACCGGTTGCCTGCGGCAGCCGTCCGCGCTCCCTCGCGCCGGGCATTCTAGACTGTTTTAAATCGCTCACTCATTGACTGAAGCTGCTTCCACCTGTGCGTATATGCGCATCTCTGTGCAATGTGTGTGAGTTTTTTACTGCACCACTAGGCGGAGAACCACCACCACGTGGATGCGCCTTCAATAAAATAATTGTAACTGTGAATGCAAGGTATAGAGAACAGACTATGCAGACAAACTCTGACAAAAGAGATGAAAAGAAGAGTCACATTCAAACAGGGGTTATTAACTGAGCCTCTCGCAAAGTCCTATAATACCTTGCAAACCAATGAATACCTCTCCTATTCCCAAAACTGTAACGGTTTCCGACGATTCAGGTCGCCAGAACTTTGAACCCGCCTGACAAGAACGTTTTCAGAGGGATTCTGTCCTATGAAGACACAAACACTCGCGCTACACGTATTTCGGATCCAGCCAAAAACGTTGTTGGTTTGACGATAACAGCTTGGCGATACGAAAACTCGGTTTTCATAATGAGAGCAAAGGTAAAATTGTATTTGTAGCTTTCCGGCGAGCCTAAATAATCAAAAGGGCAGTGATTTGTACTCTTTCCCTGAGTTAAACTGAACAAAATATCCACCATGCTGGTACCAATGAAATCCAGACATAAATGAGACACATCACAGCCGACCTTTTGTTTCTCCACCGCTTCTTGAGCGCCGAGCACAGGTTCTATCGTGCCTGGGAACGTGCATTACGCCCAGATGGAGAGTTGAGGCCTTTGTATTAATTCGTAGCAATCATTAAGAGGAGCTCTCACATGTCATCCGTTGTGATTAATGACGCACTGGATGTAAGTCTGACTGATAACCCAAAACCAGAATGAGACGCGTAAAGCGTCAACCCACATGGGCCTGTGGAAAATGTCGCATCAGCATGACCATGGGATCAGGTGTGCAGTTTGCAAGCCCGCTCGACTCGTAGCTAAGAGCTTGCAGCGATTTTGACGCTTGGATGCACTCCTGCAAAACACTACCGCAGACTCACTTAGACTTGCACGCGAACATGTACTCCGAAAAGGCTTAACAGGCATCTCATTTACTCTAATCGTTGTAGTGGGCCCGTGGGCCTTGCCTCAAGTCCCAGAGATGAGCGTTTGTCGGATGTAGCCTTCGAGAAGTTTTCGCACAAACTTAGAAAATCATTCCCAGGAATGGATCCGGCGGGCAGTGCGAATGTTCCCCACAGACACCGTCGCGGGTATCATATCCAGCCCAGGACGCTCAGACCGAGAGGTCACATCGACGGGACAGTCAGTCGACGAAACCTACCATTCCATATGATCGTGCCACTCGGCACACTCATTCACGCAGACGGTCTTCGATGGCCGCGCTCCGAGCCCTGGACTCCAGCCGGCCGGACGGCCGTCGATGGCCGCCCCCCCCCCCCCCGCCCGGGCTCTGGGCTCCAGCCAGGCCGGGCGGCCGTCGATGTCCGCTCCACCGGGCCCTGGACTCCAGCCGGGCCGGACGGCCGTCGATGGTCGCGCTCCGGGCTCTGGACTCCAGCCGCGCCGGACGGCCGTCGATGGCCGCGCTCCGGGCTCTGGACTCCAGCCGGGCCGGACGGCCGTCGATGGCCGCCGTCCCCCCCCCCCCCCCCCACGCCCGGGCTCTGGACTCCAGCCAGGCCGGACGGCCGTCGATGTCCGCTCCCCCGGGCCCTGAACTCCAGCTGGGCTGGAGGCCGTCGATGGTCGCGCTCCGGGCCGTGGGTTCAGTCAAAGGCCAGACAACCGTCGAGAGCCGCGCTCCGGGCCCTGGGTTCGAGCCGGGCCGGACGGCCGTCGGTGCCCGCTCCCCGGGCCCTGGACTCCAGCCGGACTGGACGGCCGTCGATGGCCCGCGCTCCAGGCTCTGGGTTCGAGCCGGGCCGGATGCCCTTCGATGGCTGCGCTCCGCGCCCTCGATTCCAGCCGGGCCGGACGGCCGTCGATGGCTGCGCTCCGCGCCCTCGATTCCAGCCGGGCCGGACGGCCGTCGATGGCTGCGCTCCGCGCCCTCGATTCCAGCCGGGCCGGACGGCCGTCGATGGCTGCGCTCCGAGCCCTCGGTTCCAGCCGGGCCGGACGGCCGCCGATCGTCGCGCTTCAAGCCCTGGGTTCGGGCCGGGCCTCCCTGTGCCTTGATGCGATCTCGGCCCAATCAGGGCGCCTGGCGGCGGCGCGCTCGGCCGGCGCGCTACTCGCTGCGACCCGTGACGGCTCGCCGGTGATAAACGGCGCCGGCCAGGATTGCCCGACCGGCTCGTTTCCGGGGAAGCGGTTCAACAGCTCGGCCGGTGCGATCCGATGTCGATGGGACGCCGGACAAGTTTTGTCGTCGACGCAGTGCGCCGAGCTGGGCTAGAGCGTCGAGAGTGGCGCAGACGACGGTGTGGCAAAGCACGAGGCCCGGTGCAAGGTTCAGAGTACTCAGGGCGATGGCAGTCTGCGGTACGGAGAGCGGACGGACTCAGGACGGGCTCAGGACGGACTCAGGATGGACTCAGGAGTGACAGCGCAGTTCAGGACGGACTCAGATCTCGCGCATGGCAGGCTCAGCACGAAGCCACTGACTGACCGCGCCAGGTCAAATGTGGCTGCTGCGACGCTGTGCAGACATAACTGCTGCTGTGGATCCCTCTCGCCCAATAGAGCCCAGTGTCTGATGTCAGGGAGAGCAGGTAATTGTTTTTTAGTGTTTTGGTGCGTTCAAGTCCCTTTAGCCTGGCTTTTTCATATGCGTCATATCTGAAAAAAAATTGGGGGCAAATTGGACCTAGCGTCAGCTCTGTAGTAACATTTTAGAAATATATACCGATATTCAGTAGGGAGCGATGCAGCAAATAGAAAATCGCCACGGAAATTGGTGGCCTCGATTTCCAGAAATATAAATCTAGCGTAGTTAGCAATTCATTGAGATCCCGCTGGCTGTGAAAAATGAAAATAAACAGCTGCGAGGGAATAAAGTTAATCTCCGCAGTGAAGCCCACGGTCTACGAACAGAAAAGGCGCCGGGAGCACGAAAGGAAAACAACAAGCCCACCCCGGTCACCTTTTCTCGCAAAGCATTCACATCCAAAATATACATGCTAAAAGAGGCTGGTAGACAATTAATCGTCGTGATCGGATCATAACCATTTTACCTATCACATCAAACGCTGCGCGCTGCGCGGTGGCCGCTAGTTCTGTGCATTCGCGCAGGAGACGGAGCCTGGGATCGTATCGACGGGGTCCAGGGCCCCATTGACTGACTCAGCCATGTCAACACACACTGGAAACACAATTCAATCAAACACACGTGTCAACGAAGCGCTGTCAGTAACGACGTGCGATTGCTCATGTAAACTCAGGCACGTTGTCCAGCCGAAACCATCCAGGGTGTATGGTTGACATGAGGTCCTTTGTTGACATTGGACCAGGGGGTACGGTTGACATTCGCAGGGCCAGCCAAGCCGACCGCAAGAAAATGAGGCATATTCGATCTTCCCTGCGGTCTCTACACTCTTTAATAAACGGAGTGAAGAGCTACACGGACAGTGATCATTTTACCAACAGGCATCACGTGAATGGCTTATAAGGCTACTTTCAGGAAGATCCGACAACGCAACGATGCCGTTATAAAAGATCAGCTCTTTGCCAGGGACGTGTTCAGACATTATCTTTTTAATGCAATCTGGTGTGCAGTATTATCACCAAATCAGCTATTTCATTTTCCAGGACATTGAAACGGCCGTCCGATGTGTGCCAAATGCAGCAATCTGTTATTCCCCAAGGCCTCATGGTGCCGGGTGTTACGCTACATATTCCTTGCAACAGTTATTAGAAGATACCAATCTAAATTGATGGAAGTAAGCCCTACTTCTATGCCCTTGTCCCAAGGCCAGTCACAAGCACGGTTGTCGCCATGTGTGGCAAATGTCAATGTATGTAACTGTGAACTAGAAGAAGCCGCATGAAAACAACGTGCCCTCAACTAAATGACACCCTATCGACCACGAAATAACGCCGCCTTGTACGTTACAGCTACTTGGTAAGGCTCCACAACACACTGACACTTTTGATGCAAGGGACGTGTATGGAAAACGGACTTCGCACAACATAATTTAATAGGATCCATTATCTTACCATTAACATTCCCTGGGCCGCTGAGGACAATTGAGGTTTCGCGCTGTGCCTTGAATATCCTGGCCTCATTTTCGACGAGGTTAGAAGATAAAATGATTAAATGGCGCGTGCTGTTTTTCAATATGTGCCATTAACCTGCGTAGCAAACCTGATATTGTACGGAAGACAGCCGGTAAAGCACACCCATGATTTCCACTCATCGACAGACATCCACCATCTTCGGGGAGAATTCATCCCACGTATTTCTCTATGCCGGAGGACACCTGCCAGAAACCGGAGCAACCACTGGACTGCAGCACCCCGCATGCTGTATTTACTATTGAGTGCTCTAATTTCTGAAATGTGTTGTACGACAAAACAGTTCAGCACATATTTGTTATGCCAGACAAAATCGATGCCGAATGCCCAGTTCAAACGTCATGATCAGTAATATTCGTTGTTTATTGCTTACGTCCCTCAGGCAAAACATGTTTACGACGCACAGAAGGCCGCCATCTTCCCACGTCTTCACCGCGTTTCGATCCGGTCGAATGGATTGCGCGACTCCTAAAAAACTCCTACAACTTCTTCAGTTGTAAAGGTCGACGCGACCCTGGTTGGCCTTCTTCTCCCGCTTGATGCGCGAGTACGGGCTCACGTCATCGCGGAGGACGAAGTTGACGAGCGTGCCGACCCAAGAATCGTGCGTGGGCAGGTCCTTGTAGAACTCGGGCGCGATCTTGGAGACCATCGGCAGGCGCGAGCCGGGCACGGCCGGGAAGTCGTGGTGCTCGTTGTGGTAGCCCTCGTTGAACGTCAGCATGTTCATCCAGCCGTAGTAGGAGTAGGTCTCGTTACCACGGTTGAAGATGTAGTGCTCCGAGATGAGGTGTCCCGACATGGGGTGCAGGCCGAGTCCCATCATGAAGCCGCCCAGCAGGTAGAAGAGCGCCTTGCCGCCGAGGAAGTGGTAGACGAGCGCGTCCGCCGACAGCTGAACCACGATGTTAGCGATCTCCAGCACCGAGAACGGCTTGGGCCGGATGAAGACGGGCCGCAGGAAGTAGGTGATGGGCAGGATCATCAGCCAAACGATCTTGCCGAGGGTGGAGCTGAAGAGGCGAGCCTCGATCGGCGTCGGCAGGTCCACGTCCAGACCGTCGGTGCCCTGGTACCGGTGATGTTCCATGTGGTACTTCTTGTAGGACACGGCCAACGGCAGGCCCATCGGCAGGTTGGCGAAGATGCTGAACACCTTGTTGGCCGTGGCGTGGTTGTGGCCGAAGGCGAGGTTGTGCGCCAGCTCGTGGATGGCCAGCAACAGCGAGTGGTTGATGGTTCCACTCACCACATACGTCACGAGCACCAGCCACGGCCAGGTCAGGTGGCGCACGTAGAACAGCATCGCCGCCTGGATCAGCACCTCGACCGTCACCATCAGCGGCATGTGCAAGTCCGACCCGTACAGCTCCTTGATCTGCGGGTACTTGGCCAGGATGGCCTTGCGCCGGATGGCGTGCGGCTCGCCGCCATCCGTCCAGTAGAAGTCCTTCTTCTTCCTCTCCACGGCGACCATGCTGAGTCGCTGAGGATGACCTCCCGTCACTGGCAATCGCCGGGATCGACAGGGCAGGCTCTCGCCGCGCGCGGCCTTTAAGGGGACGGCGGCCGCCTGCTGACAGCAGGTGTGTGAACAGCAGACCATCTGGCGATGCTTAGCGCCTAATGCCCGCGGGCGATGTTCCCAAACAGGGCCGGGCAGCCGGCGACACCTGCGGCCATTATGTAAGGCTGCTCACGGCTCGCCAACTGTAGAGGACTCCAGCGGTGATAAGTGAGTCATGATTACACCTGGCACAATATCACTAAATATCTTAGGCTGGTCTTACAGGACCGGAGCACCGTGACGTGTTCATGTTGCCACAGTATAAGACGTCAACGACAGGCGACAGAGTAGTGGGCAGTGTCAAAGTGGGGTGCCCCATCATGTTCAACAATGTTCGGCAACGCAGAGATGAGCAGGCGCCGGCTGCTGTTTGCTACAGTATACTGATCCGCTCACCGATCCTGTGCGGGCCCCTATCTCCATGTCAAGTCTAAACAGGGGCGTGATTCGTTGGTATGCGGAAAGCGCAGTATCAAAAAGCGTAGGCAACAGGAACATTCGACCCTTCCGTTCCGCGGCGTGATGCCGTAAACTGAGCGTAAGTCATGTGGAAGTCACCATAGATCGTATTTATGTTGCCTGGATGGCTGCATTATTGGCATTGTGGGTTTGCGGAACTATTCTGATTATATCATGGTTCGGCTATTCAGCCCGAATCAGAGCCGTCGGCAGAGAAGAGACGCAGTTACAATAAATGCCAGCAGCTTGCAGCACTTGGCGTGCGCTGTCACCGATAGATAAATGCGTTGGGGTGACGCACTAATGCTTGACCACATGTTTCTGAGAAACCAGGTCTCCAAGGCATCTCAAAAGTCTTCAGCATTCCAGGCTGCCATCAAGGTGCTTATGATCACCATGTAGATAATGTTCCGTTTTTGGCGGTTAGCTAAATCACCACAATACTGCAAGACGGCTATTCCAACTTATCACCAAGCCATGGGCGCTGTAGCTAGGCGAACGAGTCGCATATTTCTAAGATGCCAAAGTCAGATAAGTACTGAAAGTCCATCACGTCAATCTGGATAGCAAACACCCAGAGCAAAGCCTGCTGTCAGGGCACGGCCCACGCACTTTACGAGAAGCAGCCACGAGCTCGGAAGCGCTGCCGTGGAGGAGCCGCAGGATCTTACGCAACAATACTGCCGGCGCACCTGACCAACCGTTTTGTCCCAGGAAGCTTGGTGCTTTCCGTCTTTCCAGCTTTCAATGGCCAGCGTTTTTACTTAGCAGTAAGGTGCACGTTCATCCCGAGAGCCTCAATGCATTACCTTAATGAAAATTTCGCGAAAGCGTGCAAAACTAGGTGGCCGACACGGGCGACGCCTTTGGAACAATCTCGCTGAATGTCCCCGCCAGGGATACACATTTTATGAGGTTAATAACGCAGCCCTTCAAGTACGCCTCTGTCAGGATATTAAGGCTTTCATCACCATCAAGAATGAGCACCGGACAATGCGACCAAATTACAGCGCGGCGGTCAAATGCAATGTCAGCCAAGCTCCACTGGACCACGGGATCACTGGTACACGTGGATCGTTAAGAATATTGTCTCCCACCGAAAGCAGCTGAAGATAAGTCAACACAAGTGATACGACACAAGCCAATGTAGAAGTCCAAGCTTGGGTGCGGCCTGTGGTCAAGACCGAGCTCGCGCGACACGTGCCGAGGCTGTGGTTGCTGTCAGGGTTCTCTACTCACGTCTGTGGTCCATGCCGATGACGAAGTAGGGGCAGCTGACGTGACTGACTTCGCCAGGCTTGGTGTAGTTCCAGCAGCTCCAGCCGTCGAAGATCCGGGGACAGTACAGCTGACCTGCGGTACGGGAGCGCAGATGAATGCACGGCCGGTCCTGGCAGACATGGCCTGTGTTCGATCCTTGCCTCGCGGAGCTTTCAGTGCGCACGCTTAACACGCGCCCGGATGGCCGGTCGGATACCCTTCGCTCGGGTGGGGTCATTTTGACCCGCTGAGATCTCAGGAACGAGCTAAGAGAGCTAGAGACACCAAGTTCACAGGGTGTGTTGACCTGTACGTGAAGTCACTTAGGTCAAAGTTTGAAGTTCCTAGGTCATGAACTCCTGGTCAAATAAGGTCAAACAAGTTCGGAATCCAGGCTGGTCTCTAAAGGGTCTCCAGAACTTAGGTAACTGTTTGTATTCGGTGGTCACATTTCGGCTGGACCACCCCACACACAACGGCGAACTTCCGCACGCAACGCCGACAGGGAGACTCACCCTACGCGCCCGAGCAGCACCTCTTATTCTCCTCCCAAGTATCATACCCACAACACGATCTGCGTGCGACTGGCCGGCGCCACCGTGACGCACCCCTGTCGGCGTACCTACGGGGTAACGCACCGCCCCGAGCCATGACTGTTCTCCTCACTCAGACATGAATCATCGCCCCACTCGGCTTAAATGCTGACGCACTGTCTCGGGGCATGGTCTACCGCTACACTGTTCTATGCAAAAAATCACTTGCTCGTCTACGGTTAGTGACCTTGTTTGACCTTTTGAAGGTCATGGTGAACAATATCATACAAGGTTGCTTTGAGTTTTGCGTTCGAGTAAGCGACAAAAATTACGCCAGGCAGTATGCATCCAAAAACAAAATGCTTATCTGGGTCATTTTAGGATAGTGGCCAATTCTGACCTTTCAGAAGTGCATGGGAGATGTATAATGTTGTTCCTGTTACCAATGAATTCGAAACGAACACAAGAAACCATCTTATACAGCAAGGCCTGGAGAAATAAAACGGATTAGCTTTGACCTTGGTCACACCTTCAAAATTGGCCTTAGGCAAATGGAACTCATCCACTAAATTTTTGCGTTTCCTAAGAAGGTATTTCAGAGATGCATGGTCTTGTGTAACACTCCACTGTTGCATCAGCTTGAACGATTCCCCAGAAACTAACTTCGTGGAATCCATGGCCTGAATTTTACCTGCCGTAGCTTAGCGACCTTACAAGGTATATCTAAACTTTTAATACCAAACGATCCGCTATCAAATTTTCTACAGCTACGCAAAATTCGGTACGGCTGCGCCGCGCCGTTCGAAAACCATTTTGGAAAAACCTTCGGGGGGGAATTTGAAGCCCCCCACTCAAGCGCGTGTTAAAGAAGCGTGCGTAGAGCTGATGACCTCAGTGTCTGCTTGTAAAGTTAGCATTCACTACGTTTCAATGGAAGATCTCGCAAGCACAAACACCCAAATCGATGTACGTAGGCCATACACCCCTCTCCGCTAACGGCCCAATACCTCCTATGATTACAATAGACTGATAGCGTACGTAACGTAAAATAAAATAACAATTGGCTGAATACAGATATTCAAGTGCGTTAAACACATGTCACATAGAGTGGGCGCACAGTGCATATTTTGTGGACAATGACAACTGTCATTTCAACCTTCGCCCCATGTGCTGCTGGGAAAACTACAGGCGGCAACGAAGTCTAGTCCAATCTGACAATACATAAAGAGGCCATTAGCTGGGCATGTGGCGGTAGGCCACGTCGAAAACTTTAAGGGTTTTTTGAGGAAACCGGCGTCATCTATCGAACAGTGAAACGAGTAAAAAACTTGCAAACTCTGACCAAAGCGCCAGAAACTTTGTTCCCAAGCTGCAAGAGGCAAAAAGATGTACACAACACGACAGAATCTAATACAAATACACAGTTAGGGGCTTGCTTCCAAAATGGACTCGCGTTTCGGTCAGCTTCGGCCAAGTTTACTCGGACCTCACAACTTTTAGCCGTGGACGTTGCCGGAGACTCGCTAACTCGCTGACATCTTCAGCTGACGGTCACTAGTGAATGCCCACCGAAAGAGTTCGATTGAAAAGGCAGCGTGCTCCGGGACATTCGCTGAGAGGATATCTTCCGGAAAACGAAAATAACGTAACTTTACTATATGCTGTACGGAGACCTTCCTTATTTCAAAATATGACATGTGAAGCACCCCTGCAACGCTACGTGTCTAAGCCCATCACGTCGCATGACCGCATTTCATGCCTGGAAAATGCTCCGCTGAAACTGGAAAACATTCAGTGATAAGAAAGCCTTACCATCAAGCACGTTCTTAATGGCTATTTTATCCTAGATGTGACGCGGATGGCAACCAGGGTTTCAAGTTGGAAGCTTGGTTGCCATCCAACGTCTTGAGGGAGACGAAAAAAGAAGGCTACCAGATTTGCAGCTCCTTTACTCCATTGGCGGTTTTCATGAGATAACTTGTCACCGAGTACTTTATGCAGCAGTTGAAAGCACTTTGAAAGCACCCTTGTTGAATTGGAAAGGATCCAACGTCATCAGATAGCACACGTGTTGCCTAACAGACAGTCACAAAATATGTCATCCAACAGAACATAAAGCCTTGTTCTTCAATGAAATCGCTGGGGGTGTTCTCCTTTCGTTGAAAAAAAAAACGTTCAAACGAGCAAAACCCAACGTGTAACACGGGTTTGGGCTTTTCTATCAGCAGTTAGGCTCTGCCGGCATGCAATCATATGGACATTCAGTGGTCACTCTTATCTCTAACAGGAAACGTCCTTTTCATGCAGGAAGGAAACGGTCATTCTTTCACACGCATAACCGCTAGTAGTGCCAGCAAGTCCACTATTGGCCCCTAAGCCAGAAGAATATCATTTTTATCGGCAATGTCATGCTATGCATCAGCCTTCAGGGGATGATGCAAAATGTAGCATACCAGTATGTAAGAGGCAACAGTGTTATAGTAAGCAATTATCAAAAAGGAAATTGAAAATTGGCTCGTTAGAGCATGTTCATGCCAAAGTGTGTGAGAGAAAGACGTTATTATTTGGTTAAGAGTTGAAATGGACGAACTATATGTCAAACTATACGTCTTTTTTCCCCGTACGTGATGCAACGTGACGGCATTCCGTCACAAAAAAACACGAGCCGTCGTTTCTCTTGGGCCAATCTTGTCAGCCTGACACGCTACGAGATAACAAAATTTCAACTTTTTATTTCCCATTCCGTTACCATGGGACTTCTCTCGCGCTGGTGTACGGGCAGGGTGGCTATCGCGTTTCATGAGACTGTCTGACCATCCAGCCGACCCTCTCTGAAAACACAAATATCAACTGCCACCTTCCAGCCGGCTTTCCTGCTGATGTCTTTCTAGCATCAGCGTTCCGACTGCTGCGGCGGCCGGCAGCCGACCCGACCTCGGACCCCGGGCCCCGGCAAGGTCGTGCGCTGATGACGTCACCCCCATCGTGTGTTGATGAAGGACGCCGGCGCGCCGCCGCGGCCCGCCCCCACTCGGCTGTGATCTGCCGCGAGCCTCCGGCCTCGCCACTCGTCCCGCCGCACTACGAGCGGTGGAAGAACGCATCAATCGAGCTGAATGAGCCATCGCCGGTGGTGATCACCGAGCAGCGCACCCGGCGGGGCGGCGCGTCCGCTGCTGACAAGCGAGCTCAGTATGCGAGAAGCCTGCTGTAATCCGCACAAAATGTGTCGCAGCCGCTGAAGATAGCGGCCTAATAAAAGAAGGCAGCGCTTCAGCGGTTAAAAGCTGGTAAAGCTAGGCCAGTATCGGTCATTGTCATTTTGACGGACCTGTATTATGAACGGACTGGCTGGGCGTGTTATGCTTTTTCTTCCAAATTACTTCCCTTATTCTGTCAGGCTTCCAGAGCAAGCCGCAGGGATTGAGCGTCTTTAATCGGGTCCGATCTGATTGAGAATACTGATTGTTTCCAATGCCCGACGAAATCTCTCCTTAATGATATAAGTACAAGCGCTCTTGTAAAATGCAGGCGTCGGGAAAATTAAACAGAGAAGTAAGTGTTGAGATGGAGGAGCTCGTGATCATGATAAGTTTTGAACCGAAAACGTAAAATGGAGGTGACTTAATAGATGAAAGAAAAAAAACCTTTTCGAATGGATGGATTTATGGGATCAGAGCTCACTCTAAGCAGTACTTGTTGTGCGTGCCCTAACCCCTACCATGCGATCGTGAAATTCCAGGTCAACGGTAGGGTTTGGTGGCGAAAGTTTCACGTACTGCAATATTCGGCGTGGGCTGTCCAGCTTCATAACGTCACCTGGCTGTTAGCGCGGCCGCTGCCACCGGCCGCAGGTCATACCGGTCAAGGCCGAACAGCAAGCGCCTTAAGGTACTCGAACCCGCCCGGCACTGGTGGGTGGGTCAGAGAGCAGGCGTTCCATCCAGATGAGATGTCGGGACGGACAGCTGATGACAAATAATGATGAACTGGTAGCTATCATTATGACAATAACCGGCCCTCAATATACCCGGGGTGCTGATGATCATCATCAAACTTTCAAACACCAAGACGTTATTAAGGGGAGTGTTCTACACTTATGTGGGGTTTTGAGCTGAAATAGCCATCTTGAAGATTTTTCGGTACTGTTCACAATCCTGCCCTCAAAACTTAAGACACTCAAGTTTCTGAGTTATGCGCCCGCGAAACGGGAAAATATGTGCGTCGAGGACAATATTTCAGTCGCCTAGGCATTCATGACGTCATAGTAACGTCATTTAAATCCTGGAATTCCATAATCCATGCAGCGATCAAGGCCAAAAGATATGATTATCGAGGTGTTTATGTCTGGCGTTCGAGAGCGCCATTTACAGAGATAACGGCCGTCAATTGGCTCTCAATCAATGTTGTGCAAGGTACGATGACGTAATCAAGCCATGACGCATTGAGGATCATATTCACTAGATAATTGTGTTGCCCAAAGCAGCCTTATCAGCCTAAAAGTATACTGGTTATAGGTGAGCTTGTTCATCATATCTGATGCTTGCTTTAAGATCTTCA